AACCACATCTCTACCTGGGAAAACTCCGGCTGGTTTTGTGCCAGCATTTCTTCCCCCAGCCCAGAAAATTCTCGAAGTCTCCCTGCTGAGAGAACAGGGACAGCTTTTCAAATGTTTTGTTCCCTTCCACTTAAAATTCAACCAGAGTATCTAAATTAGGAATGCCGCTACATTCCAGCTCAGAAAGCTGCAGCGCTCTGTTACAAAGAAGGGCTCCGTCTCCTCCTCATCATCACCCAGAAACCTGTGTTTCTGGATCGTCTGGTCCATTCACCTAGGTGGAAAGCTCGATAGGGGGCCCGTGTTGTACCCTTCCTTCTGTGTCTGGTACAGAGTGGAGCACCATGTCAGCGACGCACTAATACACAAGAATAATCAGCTCATCAAATCAGCTTCATTAGTTGGAGCTTGAGAGCACAGCTCCACTGCCCAGCCCTGCAGACACGCAGCCTGCCTCGCCGCTCCATCTGCTGCAGCCGAGCAGGAGGGGTCTGCCCATTCGGCTGTTCACGCAGAAGTGCAAAAGCCCGGGACACCCGGGGTACTTCAAGCATGTGCCATGTTCCTGCCTGACACATGTCACCAGGGACCATTGCTCCTCCCCTGTCTCTTGTACTTAAGACCAAATCCAACTCCGGAGCACCAGCGCCAAAGTCACTAGAGCAAGGCTTTAGGCCACTAATGATTTCCCTGTTTTCCAGGGGGAGAGAAGCAGGGTCTGGTCCAAAAAGTCTGCCTTGCATCCCAATCACAACATGGGCTCCTGGAGGCCGCCCAGTGCTGTTGGTGGGTGGCCCTGCAGCAGGGACCCTTGCTAGGAGAAGAGAGAGGTGGCAGAACAGAGGCTGCTGAAAGCTGGCTCTTCCCCAGAGCAGGCTCTGGGCTCTGCGATCCCTGTATTTCGATAGCAGAGGAGCGGGACACCAGCAGGTCACGAGTTTCACAGATTTGTTCACTGCTTGGGATTTCTGAGCGAGAGTATTTATGGATAGCTCTGGAGTTATTTTTATGGGAATGGCTCTGTAACTAAGCACTTCAGAAAAAAATCAGGCCACCATGTAGATGAAAAGGCAGGTGGAAAGGGCTTTGCTTTGAGTGTATCCAGCTTGGAAATGGATGGGTGCAGGCACCCAGCAGGTGCTTGCTGTGAAAACCCCTAGGGCAGGTTATCTTCACAAATGCTTCAGACAATGGTGAATAATAAACACATGTATAAATCTCTCAGTCTTTGGTATTGCCAAGGGTCTGTGCAGAAGTATCTGTTGCTTACACTCAAGTTCTCTCTCTCTCCGTGTATTTTTAGCATGGATGGAGATATAGTCTCAGAAAATGTAATGACATGTGACATGCAGGATTCATATGTATCTAGGCAGTATGGGAATGTACCATGTAGGAGGAGATGTAACATACTGCTTGGCTTCTAATACCCATTACTTAAGCATAATAAGGCGCATTATGGAAGCAGATAAGGGGGCTCCCCATTGTGCCTAAGCATTAGAAGACATATGTTTGCGCAGTACCTGTATTCTCCCTTTGCTTTATGTCATTACATTAAAGTCGATTCATGCAATATTGACTGAAGATTTACACTGGCTTGTCAAAAATGTTCCAGGCATTTGCCTTTAGAGGATGATGAGTTTTCACAAGAAAACAATGATCAATTTGATTCCGCCTCTCCCATGCCATTAACAAATCTTGCTGACGATTCCAATTGGATACCAATGTAATGCTATGGCAAACCACCTAATGTTCAGGAGAATTTCTCTGCTGGTTTTAAGAGAGTCAAAAGGCAATGTTCTGCCCTGGTGCTACCTTTATAACTCTTAGCAAGTAAGACAGAGAAGCCTTGCCTTGTAAATGGTTCTAATGAAATGTTTTTCCAAAAATTTGCATGTTTAAGGAAGAATTTAATGTCCACAGTATCTCTGCCACTCGGAGGAAGTGCCTCAAACAGAATGGATCAGACTCTTCCTTCCCGTGTTTTCACACTGCAACCCAGTTTTAACAGGAGCTGTAGCCTGCGAATGGATACAGAAAAGGGCTGGCAAAGGATCTTTCTATCATAGTTCAAGCAAAAATGCCTATTTTCCTAACCAAGGTTTGAATTGCATTGTAAAGATAGACACTGGAACGGTTGACAGCTTTAACAAGAAAACTGTGACTGCAATCCTAGTGCAAACCATACATCTTGTGAGATCAAATGGAATGCTCTGTACAGATGCCAAAAAGAGATGATTTTTTAAAGCCTGTTTTTTTTATTAGTAGTTAATGGTGTATATTTAGCACTGAAAAGATCATTTGACAGCACATCAGTCTTGCCAGATACATGAGTAAAAGGAAACTCAAAAAACCCACATTTGTGTGGGGTCTTTTTCATCTGAAATTTTAGGAGGAACCAACCTACTGGATGCAAACTCTGCTGAACTAGATGGAAAGGCTGCCATTGATTTCCACGGACTTTAGATCAACCATAAGGAGAGGAAGTAAAATGCATGCTAGGATGTTTCCTTGGTTATTTGCCTGTCCTTTTAAATGCTATATGTGACATTTTAAAGTTCAGGTGTTAAAAAAGGAATGATAGCTTCATGAAGGGTTTGTCAGTGAACTGCAGAGTTTAGAAGGCTGTTAAAAATATGAATATAAATGTCTCTGTGCATACACACTACAGGGACAGAATTTAATTTAGCTGGAGCTGGTGGTACCTGACACTTTCTGCTAGGAGAGCCTGTTTTCAGTTTTCTATAACTTTGCCAAGTTTTAACCATTCAGTGTCTACCTCACACTGAATATTTTGCATCTCTTGATTCCACCAGCAAGGTGATGAAAAGCTACCCAGTATTGCCGAATGGAGAAGGCAATCAGAGGATTCTGGCCACACAGAAGAGGGAGTAAGTGACAGCAAAAGAAACATGAGGGTGGACAAAGAAGGGACAAAATGAATGGAAGGTAAATCAGACGGGGGCCACCAGACATAAGAGCGACAGTGATGGGGCGGTGTGAAGGGCTAGGCCAGCAGGAGAGGTAGCCTGGGAGAGAAACACAGGAAAGGGTGAAGAATAAAAGACCCCCAAAGCAATCTGAGCAGTAAATCCTTGAATCACACATTCACCTTCTTTAGTGATTTTTTGTTTTTTTCTCTTTTTTCTCCAGGCTAAAGAAAATGATTTATGCAGCACCAAGCATAAGGGGGCCCCATTCTCCACTGGCTGGTAAGCATTGCTGCAAAGAACACAACAGCAGCAATAGTAAAGACAGATGATGCCTGTTGTCATTTTCAAAAGCCCTGGGAATAACTCATTGGTCAGACTGCTCCCAAGGAGGCAAGTTGCTTATCGCAACTGCTTTGTTTCTTTTCCTGTTGAGATTGCAGGGTTTTTATTCATTTTCCAAGCACTAGGAAGAAGCTACGGGATCTCAGAAGAAGCTACAAGATCTTAGAAGAAGGCAGAAGAGCTGAGAAGGGAAAGGGAGGACAAGGGCCAGCAGGACAGGACACAAAGACAGACACACAGTGAAGAGGGAGACAAAGGACAGATGAGGAAAGAGAGCAAGTGAAAAAATATAGAGAGGGAAGGAACCACCAGATGGAGGGCAAAAAGCCATGTAACAAAGTCTTTCAGCATTTTTAACTCTACCCCAACATATGTGTGCATTCCTTGTGCAAACATTTCTTCCCAGAGCCCCTTCATCTCCTGGGTACAGGGATGGGTGCAGTGTCAGTAGGAAGGACAGTTGGAGAAGTAGATGGTTAGATGTTGATATGTCAAAGGATGTACCCCTGTACACCATGCCAGTGGAAATGCTTGAGGGAAGTCCTGATTCCTGTGTTCTCTCACCCTCTAGCTGCTAGGTTTAAAGTCTGATTTCCAGGAATGCAACACACGTTTCCTTTTCCACTGACCATGGGACCAGAAGCCAGCCCTACCTGGGGCAGGAGGAAACTTGCCCATGCTGAGGTCCAGTGGCACGTTGCGTATCACATCTGTTTTGTGGAGCTGTTTACGTGAGGTCCTGCTAACATGCATGCTCCTTCTCGAGCAGCCTGTGTCTGTATGTGTCCCTGATCCACAGATTAATGATAAGCTTATGCTTGTGGTAGCTGCCCTGTTGCACTGCTGCCAGGAGACAGCATGTAGGCAAGGAAGTGTCCCTCATGCTCTAATGGCATATATTCACCGCAGGCACTTGTGTAAGGGAGGTGATTCTGGAAGTGCAAGGAATCACACGATTCCGGCACAAATGTTTCCAGAACATGTTGCTCTTCCTGCATTTTTTCTGAAGGGAAAAAGGGGAAAGGTAGAAGGAGGCTTCCAGCCACCCCCAATAGCTTTTGCAAATGAATTGTCTAACAAATGCAGCCATTTTGCAGCATGAATTTTGCACATAGGGTGCATTAAGTGCATGGGCATGCCCTGTTCATAGCTGCCTGGCAAGGAATTAGGGCAAAAAAAAGGAGAAACATGTGAAAATGTTACCCCAGATTTATCAGGAAACAGGTTATTAGGAGTCATGGCTAATGATGTTCTCTAATGGGTCTGTTATCCAGCCTTAATGGCATTGTCTCTGTGCATGGCCACCATAGGAAAAAAAAATTGTTCTATTTTTTCCTGTTCAGACATTATCCACATTCCCTGACATTTGACGGGTCTGTAGAGTATGAGGCTTTTCCAAATGGCTGCAGAAGCCCTTCTGAAATTAACTGATCTGTGTGAATATTTATTATCTAGCAGTGACGCCATTCCCATGATGCATGCAATCATCTGTGGCAGTCAGGCTGCTTAGCATGACAGGACCCTAAGTAATGACCAAGAGAAGACAAGAAAATACAGATGTAGGGGTGGAGCAGAGGAAGGAGGAGAGGCAGGGTGACTGCTGTGGTATAAACACCCCCAGTTGTGAAGAGGTCATGGCTTTTCCTACCTGTCTCACTTTTTCTTTCACGATGTGGTGACTACAGCCACCACAGCCCTGGTAAGTAAGTAAGGTCCATAACACCAGCAGAGGGAATCAGTAGTTTTTATTCACTAAAATATGTGGTTTTGGTTGGTTTTTTTTAAAGCTGTAGTCACACAGCTGTAGTCTGGACTCCCACGTTTCAGCTGTTCCCTCTGTCCACAGGCAGAAGTAATGCGTCACTTTCTGAATTGTTCCTTAAAAAAATCAAAACCAGTTAATCAACAGCAGCAGTAATGCAGAGTGGAAACGATCGGCTCAGCTCCAGGCAGGAGAGACAGCATCGCCCCTACAACTGGCACCAGGTAATAGCAGCAAAGCTCAGCGCTGTTTTTGGCATGCCCCATCCCCTCAACCCCAGAGGGATGAGGCTGCCTCCCTACCAGCACCCAGTACCGCTGCAGTGCACCAGCCTCAGCTTCACAGCACCCAAGTCTGCCTGGGCACCAAACGGGGCTGATTCTGTTAAAATTTAAGAGAGGTTCAAAACATGCACATTCAAGCAGGCTGCTGTGGGCCCCTGGAGCTGCAGCCCGGCCACAGACAGGGCAGGAAAATGCTGTGTTCCCCGGCAAGACGCACAGGATTTCCTGCAGCAGGTCAAGAAAACATACCTTCCCATTGTCCCCGCCATGTCACGGGGAGTCCTTGTGCTCCGCTGGGGACAATGTCGATTCCTACCCTGGCAACCAAGGAAAACAAGGAAGGTTGTTTGGCATTTTACGCAAAGCGGCTGCCTGCCTCCCTCACCAGAAAGGCCAGGCACTGGGAGACACGACCTTCCTCATGGCCGCTAATGAATGTCACTTGCCAGCCGTTGGCTGGCTGAAGGGGTGGAAAATCTGTGGCAGCCCAAGGGAAAAAACGTTGTATTTAAGACAAACATGTCTAGGGGGAGGCAGGGAAGAGCCGTGCTGATTCTTGCCCTCAGCAGGAGCAGCAGGCAGGCTGCCGGGCAGCAGGGCACAGCAGGGTGCAAGGCCGGGTTGGAAGGCCATGGAGGGCAAGGGGGTTGTCCAGCAATGAAGGCCTGTCCCAGAGCTGTGAGGCCACTTCAGGAGCCCATCTCACCACCCTGCAGCATGCCTGCAGCCAGGCTCAGCTGAAAGTCCTCCATCAGCCCCAGCTTAACTATAAAGTGCACTTGGCATTTCCCTGTCCTGATGTTCAGTTATTCCCTGTTATTGCTGCATTTTTCCTCCTCTAAAAGCATTTTAACATTGAAAGAACAGTCATAAAGAAGTAACTTCAGTCTCACATTCTTGCAAACCTTGGGGACTGAGTCTTTTAATGGCTGTTGAATGCACAGAAATGCTACATGCCATGCTGGACCTCAGAGATGTAGAACAGATCTCACCAGCGCACATCTCCAAAGCATTCCAAATCCAGGCTCCATCAGCGCAGGCTGTATCCTGACCCTCTTTGGAGCACTATGATGGAGGTCAGGAAAGTCTCAGCTTTGCTGCCGCTGGGCTAAACACTTCCAGGATTAAAGGCATTATTTGTTTCCTGTAATGCTTTTGTGAACCTGTGTTTCCTTTTTGTCATAACACCAAGCCAGCAAGTGTAGGATGAGACAGAGCACCTGTAAGGCAGTGGCAAAGATTATAAGAAACTGAGCATTTTACTGCAGCTTAAAACAAAGGAATTTTCACTGTAACCCTTTAGAATAAGGTTGCCTCAAAACACACATGGAAAAAGTATAAATCAACTTATTGTTAACAGTGATATGGGTATGTTTTGTTTTTATACTGATAGTGAGAAAATGTCCGAAAAGTTGACTTGGATAAAAAAATATCAAAATGTAAGAGCTGAAAAAACACACACGCCCAGTGCATAGGACATTACCTCTAGACTCAAGAAATGACATTTCAGTTTGCAGACCCAAACTGCCACAGAACAGAGCTGTGTACAGAGATTGGTAGTGTTTGGCAAGGTCCATGGAGGGTATAGTGTAGAAGGCTGCCCATTCAAAGAAAGGGAAAGGGGACACAGATAAAAAGATTTCAAGCATATTCTACTGTTAGATAAATGAAAGAGTTGAAGAGTGTTTGTTTAGGAAGGGGGAACATGTGTCTTTAAATTTATCGTAGATAAATGGGCAGAGGGAATAGCAGCCAAGATTTCCTTGTCTGAGAGGCTGAAGCTAATACTGTCATCTGTGGTTAAGACCCATTTGTCAAACAGAGTATGCTGAGAATAAAGAAAATCAAGTCTCCCTTCCCTTTTTAATTTGACTTAATTACCCGTAATTCCCCTTACTGAAATAAAGGCATTTTCAATTGCAGGACACATTTCTGTGCCCTTACTTTCGCTAATGCAAATACATGGCTCTGCATGCAGGGAAAGCAAAAGCTGAACAAATGTGCCACAAAACCAAGATGCTCCAGTACACTCACCTCCTTCCTTGGGAGAGGAGGACAGAACAAACAGCACGTGGCAGATGTTAGCCACACAGTTCAGTGCCCTACTGGGAGGCACACAAATACTATCACGCTACACAGGCTGGGAGAAGCTACCTAGGAGAACACAGAGCACTTGTATGTACGTTGGATTTGCCCCTCCATAGCTGGGAGGAGGTATGCTTGGAGTACATAATACAATTATAATTGGGTGCAATATGTTCACAGCGTTTAAAAAACGTTGTCTTAAAAAACTGAGTGCCACGTTCAGATGGCTTGAATTCCCCATGAGCCCCTGTGCCTACTGCTTCCTACTGGCTGCTTCTGGTCCTTCAGTGGTGCCCAGCCAAGAGGAAACTTCAGGGCACAGATGGAGTTCAGGCTAGACAGTCCATAACCTTCACTGGATCCCGCTGGCATCCTGTGGTGCGAAACCTGCATCCCAGAATTACTTGGAGCTGTCGTCCTCCCGAACCCGATGAGCACACTTGCCTAAAATAGTTGCTTGCAAAGGTGTGGCGAGGCCAGCCTCGGGGCTCACAGAGTTGCTGAGGGGGACTGTGAGCCTCAGAATATCCTTGTAATTCATCTGTAATGTTAAACTTTAAATAACCGCCTTCCTCTTTCATTCCTTTCTACCTCGGCTAAGAAATGCAACACGCACTGTGTAAAGGGACTGTCACCAGCTGTTAATAAGAAAGCAGCTTTAGCTTCTCTCCGCTTCTCTTGTTCACACGTAGACAGTGTTGGAAATCAGTGAAAACGGGTGTAGCCCCTCTGCTACCGCCACCGCCACCTCCCACAAAGAGAGCAAGTGAGAAAGGGAAGAGGAAAGGTTGAAGAAATGGGCTGACCTACTTAGGTACTGCGAAGGACGAGCATGCGGGCGCTGAGTGCTGCAATGGCTGTGCGCGTTTGTTCTGGGCACCTACTGTTACCCTGGCATCCCTCCAAACAAATGGCTTTACACCCAATTCCAAAACAGCTCCTTCCTCCTCCTCTTCGAAATATGCCCTCCCCACCGTGCACGCTCTCCCTGTGATCCTTGCTGCCTTGGTTTTAAAACGGCCGCTTCCCCAAGCAGGCAGCCAGGCCCTGTCTTCTCACCCACCTGTTAATACCTGGCCTCCTGTTTGTCACACGGCAGCTCTGGGCTCTCGACCAGGATCGCCCCCTGCTCCTGTGCCGCAGCCACTGCTTCCGGCACGGGCCACCTGTCCCTCCTGTCTCAGCTGAGAAAGGACAGGACCTAACTGCAGGGTAGGTGGCTGTCAGCAGAGGACCCGGCTTGCGAGGAGTGGCTTCCAGAAGCAGGAAGGAGAGAGGAGGCAGGTCTCCTTGCTCTCGGGAGCCCTGACTCAGACCCCTTCCCGTGTGTCACACGCTGCCCCCTCCCCTCCGCTGGCTCCGAGCCCCTGAGTGGCATCAGTCGAACTCTCTGAGTTAGCCAGCCTGAAAATTATACCCACTGGGATCTGGCCAGTTTGCAAGCTTAATATTGGTGATTGCAAGGTGGGATCAGCGCATTCAGGCGACACAAAGATTGCATTATAAACCCGTTTGGATTTAGATGGCGGATGATCCTTTTGCTCTGCAGACAGTATTTCTGGCAATTCAGAGCAGTTACAATTGCTCGTCAGAACAACCGAAAGTGCTTCCCTGGCAGCACGGCATATCTTACTGAGAGACTGGAAGAACCTTCTTTGGTTTCTATATAAAACCCACTGATGACTCATATAGGACTCAGAAATTGTCTTAGAGATAAATAGGAAGATAAACTGCAGATCTAGAGAGTGAAGCTTGAGTCACAGAGCTGGAACCAGGATCGGAAGGCAAACTTCCACGAAGTTTGGGGTCTTAGGGAGACAAACAGGGGGTTGTTTGCATTTTTCACGTAAACATCACATTTGTCATTTCTTATTTCTCCTTTTCTTCTCACTTCCTCACTTCCTGGATGTATTGTAGAATATGAGGGGTCTTGTAGTTCTTTTTGTCTACTTCCTCTACCACATTTTGTCTTGCTTCACACCAGTGATGTCTCAGAGGCAATTAAAGGAGGTTCCTCTTAGTTCCACAATGCCACATCAGCTTTGGTCCCTCACCAAAGACTACGTAAGGATGTTACACACACAAACTGCAGTGGAAGTTCATTACTAAGGGTGGAAAATCAAGCACTGAGAAGCTAGAAAAGGCCACTGCTAGGCTGGCTCGTGGAGCTTCAGTTTGGCCCCTCTGTGCATACGCACATTATGGCAGTCTTTAATTACATGAGCATAATCCTGCACTGCTTGTCCCCCAGAACCCCTGCCTCCTCCAGCTCATGGAGCAGGTGGTGCTTGCTTAATGAGCAGCTATTTATATTGGGTCTGTGCTCAGCACAAGACCCTGTGTCTTGTTCACTGTACACTGTTCAGACCTCGATGTGAAGATGGAGGATTCACTTTCCTGCTGGCTCTTCTGGTGTACTTACCACTGTTGTACCGCTGGGCTTTGTTTTCACAACACCTTATGGAGATGGGAAGGTGGAATTATTCCTGTTTATAGATGTTGGATTGCACAGGATAATGAAAAGGGTCCAGTTCTTTGATGTGACACCTGTGGGGCTCCTGGGCTTTCTGTGCTCCACACGTGGGATGCCACCTGCATGCTCAGGACTTCTACACAAAAGACTGTAGTAGGCAATCTTAGTATCCACTGTGGCAAATATACTTTCCATGATTTGACTTACATCATGTAGGATCTTCTGGAGCCTCATGGGACTTCCTTTGTATACAATTTTTTTCCCAGAAATAATGGTGGGGAAGAGATTATAACTTGATAAGATATAATGCCTCTTGTTTGGTCTCTCTTGCCCTTCCATTTGCACTTTTTCCTCTAAGGGATGGCTCTTCTCTGCCTCACATGCAGGGGAAGTTCTCAGACAAATTTGCCCCTTTTTGTAATTGTGAAAGCTTGACCTGTTGATCATATAATGACTTGAGTATTCTTACACACCCTTCTTGGTGTCATTGCAAACTTTTACTTCCAGTTTTCCTCATGCTTCTTATCACCCTGAGGTATTAGCCTTTCTCAAGTGTCAAGTATATGTCCCTGTAGTACACAGGGAATACTGGTTTTGGTGTAGTGAGTACAGTCAGGTCACAAAAAATGTCCCTAAGCAGCCACCAACTTCCAGTCCATTGATCTTCACACATCATAAGAAAGTTCAGACTGGAATTCCTTCATGTTGGCTGCCATGTCTCTTGTGTTAAAGGAGTCTCATCTACAGTGCTCTCCTGTGAAGACATTTATCCAAATTGGAAATCCATTGGGATGCCCCATAACAGTACAGTTCTTTACAGATGCTGTAGGAAAGTCATTGAGAAATGCACTCTGCTGATCACAGTTGGTCTGCCCCATTCCTCTTCATACTTTGGCCAGTTCTGTTTCCTGCCCTCTAAATGATTTATGCCCCAGCCCCTCTGCTCCCTATTCTTGCCTTCCTGTTTCTCTTTCCTTCTAGACTTTCTCACTAGACTCCGTCCCTCCTTGATAGCTTGCTCTCTGTTTTATACCTTTTTTCTCATACTGGCCAACAGGCCTAGTCAAGCTTTCCTGAGCTTTTTGTCCCGTTCTGGTGCTCGTCTTCATCACCACTCTGGCACTTTTACTTCTTGTTCCTAGGCCATCTTCTATAACTACTTCCTTACCACATTTGTCTTCCTTTTCCCAGTCCTATTCTCCACCTCCAGTCTGATCATCCCCTGTGATCCAGGCTTCCTCCTGCCCCAGCTCCACAGATGATCCCGTTGTCTGCTCACAGAACCTCTTCTGTGTTCACTCCATTACTGTTGCTTCCTGCCCTGGCTCCCTTTCCCAGCCTACTTGTCCAGCTAATCCCAACAGGTTTTGCTCTCCTAGCTCCAGTGTTAACAGGCCCCTTGCTGCAGTCTTTCCATCCCTTTCCTATTTATTCCAGTTGTGATCTTCTCTGCATTTTAAGCCTCCAACTTGAACAACCCTTACCATGAGTGTCCCTGACTGAGCAGAAAGTACTCAAGGTTTTGTGATCTGCAGTCCTGATTCATCAGAGACCTTGACAGAGCTTCTGCCCACCCCTCTGGAAGCTGGGTGAGTGGCAACCTGATGAATAACCCATACAAGAACTTGGACATGTTTGCAGGTCCACAGCAATAACATAACCTGAGAGTATCTTACAGGTAGACTACAGATACGGCCCCTCTTCTCAGTGCTGGCTCTAACTCTACCTAGAGTAGCTATTACAGGGAAACACTGCCTTCTATCCCACAGTGCTGGCCTCGGGTGTGCTCTGTTATTTCAGGGACAGGTACATGTTCAGTCTCCATTGTCTCTTGGAGTTAATGATGAGATGGAGCGTGCTCCATGACAGTGGCATTCTTGGGGGCTTTATCTGTTAACATCTATAGAGTTTCCACTGAGCAACTATCAAGTGAGATTCCCCCCCCCCCCCCCCCCCCCCCCAAAGCATGTGTTGGCCAAATTAGGTGGCCTTTCAGAAAGATGGTGCAAGGCATATTCCCGAAGTTGAGGCCAATCCCCTGCCAGATTTCAAGCCTTGCTTCAAAGCATGGGAATGCTACAATGATTCTAAGAAAAAGTTGTCAGAACATTTAAATTTGGTCAAAACAACATATTTTTCCAAACCTCATTCTTGGAAAGGCTAAAGCTGATCAATCAGAAATTTAAAAAAACAACAACAAAAAAGCAACCAAACAAAAAAACAAAAAACCCAACTCAAAAACCCCAAACCCAACCAAAAAAAAACAATCAATCAACCTGAACAATATGGTAAACTTAACTTCAAATCATTAACGTTTGGCACAGCTGTAAGCTGCCAAAACCATGGTCTTGTAATACAAAGCTGTGGGCAGTTTTTATAATGAACAGCAACCCCAAATCACTTGTAAACATTATTATCATTCCCTTTCGGTTTTGGTATGTGTCTGTCTTTCCCTGTTGTTTACAAGTTAAACCGGATTTTCACGCATCCTAAAAGATCTTGTAAGGTTAACACTTCACATTAAAATACACAATGGAAATAGATACCATGCTTTTACTTTCACAAACCAAAATCAAAGTTACAAACCAAAAAAGAACACTGGGAGTTTGCTATTTTTCATTCCACAAGCACACCTCACAAATGTCAGACTTCTTTGCTGTATGATCAATAAGTGAGGTGTAAAAAATCACTAAATATTTTTCATCCTCTTCTGAGTAAACATCCAAACAGTGACTTATTTTCATGGAAATGCACAGGAGTGCCTCCTTGGCTCCAAAATGGATTACCACATCCAAGATAGCTAAAAGAGAATAATTTCAAAAATTGAAAAGTTTTATGGGAACCAGTTTTGTGCAGACACCTACGGGCCCGTTATCACTCAGCAGGCACTAACTGAAAGGGTCCCGCTCTTAAAATTTAAGTGCCACCAATGACAGCATTACAACTGTGTTGCTGTATCTGTCCTCTCATGATGCAGGGTGTTACCACTTGGTGCCTTGCTGTGGACGTTGTATAGCCAGGACTTCATTGACTTGGAAGTGGCATTTCCTGGGCAGAGAACTGAATTTTAATTTCTGTTTTACTGACTACATTTTTTTACTCTTCTCTCAGTGACTTTTCTCCCTCAATACAAAGCGTGCATTCAGATACCTTTCTGAGACTCGTCTCCTCTGGCTTCTCCAGTGCAGCAGAACCACTTATTTTCCATCACAAGATGGCCGAGCGCTGTAGAACTCCTATTAAATGGTTTTAGAAGCAACACGAAATAATGTAGAAATCATCTGTGGAAAATTGCAAAGGGTGGAAACGTGTCGTCATCTATTAGCAATGCTCAAAAATAAAATAAAATAGCTCCACAGGGCTTTTCCAATATTTGTGGAGTGGCACGCCTCCAAAGCACACTCAGTAAGGACAGGGTGCTTTTGGAAAGCTTATTTGCATGCACCCAGGCATGCAAGCACACACACAGACACACATGGGCTGCAGGCACAGAGCTATTTTGCTGGCTTGGAAGAAGTCAAGTGTTGGAGGACACTAGTCAATGAGCTGCTGCCTGAGGCTGGGCTGAATAATGTTTCTCAGTTCTTCTGTTCTAGGGGTGGGTCACAGCCAGGAAGAGCAGTCCTGCCCTGTCCTCTGCTCCCCTGCCACTGCCCAGCAGGGCAGGCAGGACCAGAACGGCCAGGACCAGCATCCCCCATGGGAGACACTGCACTGGAAGGTGCCAGCAATGAGCTGGAGGGTATGCTGGCCTCCTGGAGGGGAGAGCAGTGACTGGAATGTGCTCATGCCCCAGGGCAAAACCCACTGGGGAGAGCTTTAATCAAAGGATAATATTCACAAAAAATCAGGAAACAGGGTATCATACTGAGCAGAGACATCCCTACATTTCCAAGTGCAGTGCTTGCTGATGACGATCTCCATAGATAAATCTGGTGTGCCCCACACACTTCTCATTATGTTTGCATTAGACCTTCACTGAGGAAAGTTGCAGTT